ACCAACCTCTGACCCACTCTTGGAAATTGGAAGGGAGCCTATTGCTGATTTATGAAATAATTGAGAATGATTGTGTTATGGTTTTACAAAGGGATGTAGATTCTACTTCATGACACACAGCATATCTCATATCTGACAGCCTCATTTTCAGTTTCTGCATTCTCACATTACATAAACCCCCCCAGCCGGCCTCACAACCCCCACATACTCTCGCACATTGCAGGTATCTATAACAAATTTCTGGAATTTCTGTCCATTCTCATAGCAGCCCATGTGACTGCACTCTTGTCACCTGACAGGATGTATGTCCATATAAGGCAAGATGAGACACAGGCATTCTTAAAGGGGCAGTAACATTCTTGAAGGTTTCCTTTGAATGAACCGCAGAGAATTGCTGTAGGAAACAGGTGCAGAGCAGCCTTTGAAAGACTGTGATTATAGTCAGGAGAATTTCTTATTGAACAGGCAACATAAACATGATACAATAATTATTAATGCATGACACAAATGCAAACACTGTACTTTTTGAATTGCAATGAATGTGCACGGCTTTGAAGCACTGCTGCAAGGCCAAGAAAGGGTTTTGACCTAAACACTCATAACTCATTGAGTCATTGCTCCTCCACATTGACACAATAAACTAAAGTGCCTGTGAAGACTGTGACTCCTATTAATAGGCCTGGTGACAGAAAACAGCTGCTGCACCAAACACCGCACATCCGACTGACAGCGTAATGATAAGGGAAATGAGAGAAAGAGAGAGAGAGAGAGGAAAAGAGAGAAAGGGAATATAAGATGCTTGTGAAATGACTGGACAACTGAGAGGTCTTGAAGAGAAAAAAGGGTCTGATAAGGGACACGTACACTGTGAGAGTCACAGCTGCATTAAATGCAGGAATTAATCCCTAAATTATTGTTCTCTGAGGCTACGTTCACAGAAGCATTGTTTGGGATTGACAACAGTGTTGAATTGAGTGAATTGAGTGTTGAGTGGATTGAATAATGTCTGTATGAACAAATAATATGAACTAAAGTCAAGCCCCTTTTCAGTGCTCAAGAAAGCTGTAATTAATGCCTGTAACCATAGCGACAGTTATCTATGCAATATATGAGCTGCATGTTTGCTGCATGTGTGGCACTGTGTTCTTTTACACGTGAGCAACTTGTGATCTGGTGGTTTCAGTTTCTCAGAATGGCTCAGTTCACGGTAAATGCTGCTCCAGACAAACTCATCTCCACAATTGCTTGTAACATGCATTTGGGAACGCAATATGAACCAACAATCTTGCACCAAGTTAAGGGCTCCCTGCGCCAAAATAAAAGTTTAATAGTTTAATGACTTATAAAAAAGATGACTTATAAAATTAAAGATTATAAAAATATTAGTAGGCTACTGAAATTGTACGGTTGTACTGTAAAATAAAATTATTATTATTATTATTATTATTATCGTTGTTATTATTATTATGTTGTTTAATATTTGTACTTAGTACAAAATTATTATTCTAACTATTATTATTATTATCGTTATTATTATGTTGTTGTTGTTGTTTAATACTTTTAATTATTATTTTAATAATAATAATAATTATTATTATTATTATTATTATTTATTCAATATTATTATTGTAGTTAGTAATAGCAGTAGTGTTTTAGTCACATTAATGTCTTACAAATTTTGGGCCAAATTGTGCAATCCTGCAAAGAAGTACTATTTTTTTAAATAATATTTTATATCACAATTTTTATCATAAATATCTCAATTTCTTTTTTTTCCCAAAATTGAGGAGCCCTATTAATAGTGACCATAGTAAGTAAAGATGGTGACTTGTATAACATGTGAAAGTCTTATCGGCAATAACACAACGTCAATTAATAAAAAAAAACAATAGAGCAATGAATCACTTTTACAAATTGTACTTAACTGACAGTAAATTTGAATTACTTTTTTTTTTAACAGTGCAGAGTGTGGTTTCCAATTTCGTTTAACCGAACTGTGTAAACTATATTTATCTAACAAAACTAAATTTTAAAGTTTCCAAGGCATAAAAGCACAATGATCAAAAAACCTATATATGGGTACGGGTAAAAACATACACACAGAATGTTTTTGCATTCCACTGCACTGCTTTTCCATAGTTTCTTTACATAATCAAGCACTAGATGGACATGTTTGTTATTTAAGGAATCATGCATATGATACAGCATTCTAAAAACTTTTAACTAAACCTTTTTTTCATTCAATTCTGCCATGTGTCAAGGTTTTACATGCAAAAACTAGTTCTGTGTGAACAGTCCATAAGGGAAAAATGCCTAGCAAGCATTTTTACGAGCTGCGCTTCAGATATAGCCAAAATATCATAAAAATGTTTTGAAACTGTTTCGATATTGATTTGTTGTGCTGTGTACAACACTGAAATCTATTTTACTTCAGATAACGTCTACAAATGCACTTAGGTTGTCACTCACCTAAACAAGCTGTATGTGTACAAAACAGGATTAAGCTCTCAGAACAGGAGCGACATCCGTATTTATCTGTAGTGTGTACATGGTGAGGTATTGTATTGAGAAGAGGGATGAGTAAAAGAATCGTGCATGGGCCTGGAGAAAAGGATAAACAGAAAAGAGCAAAAGTAAAATGTAGTAAAGAGGAAACGCAACCATGAGAAAGATATGACTGGACTGAAAATTACTCTGGGGGAGGGGAGGGGGGTAACTCAAAATGTTTGCTGATGAACAACTGGGAATGAGAAAGCCTGATCATAGAGAGGGTTCTGAATGCAGAGAGAGATTCCTTTGTGTTGCCAAATACATATTTTGGATTGGTGATTCTGCATCATTTCACATTCATCCATCTCAAGCGTCACATAACACACTGTCGGATGCAACACACGCATTTTTGCCATGTTATGTGGCTGAACGCATATGAGAGATGCAGAAAGATGCAACAGAGACAGGAAAACAGCAACAGAGAGAGCAGGAGCGCGAGAGGCAGCCAGTATGTAGGGACGCAAGTAGGGGGAGGAATTTGGTTTCCATGGCAACATGTGGAAGGCTGAGCTCTAGGTGTCCGTTCCAGCTCTAACTGCGTTGCACTGCACCGGCCCTCGCTTCGCCTCACTCCCCCATCCTCCCCCACTCGTGTTCCCTCTGCAGCTCTCTCTTCATCCCTCCCTTCCACCACATACCCCTCCTAATGTGTAGAAGACATGACACCACATTCAGCACAGTCAACAGAACGCTGCTGCCTTGCAAAGAGCCTGCGCTTTGATGTAGACAATGGAGGCTCTCTGTTCTCAACGTGGCGGTCCCACGCTCTTCAGCCACGACCCGAGACCACACCCACGCTGCCATCTCCACCTCACGCCCCCATCCCTCGCGCTAGATCCTCGCTCATCTGAAACGCCAGCACCCGCAGGCACTGTGCCGCCACATGCCGCTGGGGGTGCTGTGATTGGGAGGACGTGAAAACGAGAGCTGCCATGATATGGTAGAACCTGACTGTTGTGCCTTCGCTCAGAGTATTACTGAAAGACTGGGTGATTACAGCAGCATCGTGGCATATTTATTCCTGTTTCAGCTACACTGCAGCCTAGCTACAATCTACATATGTGAACACACAACTGCACTGCAACCATCCATATGGATTCACTAATATGAATATGTACCATGAAAACCTCTCTAAATCAGATTGTGGTCAAAATCTAACCAGTGGAAATGTGTTTTATGATTACATCATAATCAAATGTATAAAATTCCATAACATAGAGCCCAACAATAAGGATTTATACAAAATTTCTATTTACCATCCTGATATTTTAACTGGCCCAGATTTTTTTTTTAACACTCTATAGAATTCCATTATATTTTTTATTAACATTTTTCATTGAACATTTTCTTTACAAAAATAATGTATAGGGTTTTTAATTTGCAATAATTACGGAAATTATGATGATATGATTTAATTAAGTGCATGCTAAAAATTCAAACACTGAAAAAGCATGTTTCCAACCCATTCTAACTGATGTAAAACCTCAACTTTGTTAGTCAGCAAAGTACGATAGTCATTATTTTAATCAGAATTCTCCACTACAATGTTCAGCATATCACACAAATCTACATTTTAAAGTTTCCAAGGCATAAAAACACATACAGTGGGTACGGAAAGTATTCAGACCCCCTTAAATTTTTCACTCTTCGTTATATTGCAGCCATTTGCTAAAATCATTTAAGTCAAAGAACCTGGTAAGTCATACACACAGAATGTTTTTGCATTCCACTGCATTGCTTTTCCATAGTTTCTCCACGTAATCATGCACTAGATCAGGGGTGTCAAACTCAACTCCTGGAGGGCCGGTGCCCTGCAGTTTTGTTCCAACCCTGCACCAACACACATACTATCTATTGAATCTAAACGTTGCAGGGCTCTGGCCCTCCAGGAATTGAGTTTGTCACCCCTGCACTAGACGGGCATGTTTGTTGTTTAAGGCATCTTGCATATGATACAGCATTCTAAAAACTTTTAACTAGACCTTTTTTTCATTCCATTCTGCCCTGTGTCAGCGTTTTACATGCAAAATCTAGTTCTGTGTGAACAGCCCATAAGGGAAAAAAGCCTAGCATGCGCTTTTACGCATTATCATAAAAATGTTTTGAAACTGTTTTGATATTGATTTGTTGCGCTGTGTACAACACTGAAATTTATTTTACTTCAGACAACTAAAAATGCATCACTCATGCAAAAGACACCGAAAGACATAGAGGTGTGGAGGTACGGTCAAATATGACCATCTAGGCTTTGCACAGTGCAAAGTGTTGTGTATAAACACAACAGGCAGGAACCCTCTCACACTGATCCTGAGCACTGACACTGAGATGAAATAGACATTAAATTATAAACAAATCCCTATGTCAGGAAATATTTCATGCGACATTTGAAAGCACCATTCTGAAGGTGTTATACATTATAAATCCTTTTTAGTGTTTTAGCAGCCACTAACCTTTGGTGTCCCTACAAGGGAGCGGCTTACTATTCCAGCCACTCTCTCCACCTTCTGAGAGCTCCTCCTGCTGGTCACACGCACACGTGACACACCCTCTTCGCCTGAGGTCTGCAAGAACAAATCATACAGGATAAGTAGATTGCATAGAGAGACAAGAAAAAAGCCCTTAAACTGATGTAACCAAATATTCAATATTAGGGGTTCAACCTAGTCAAATCTAGTGGGTGATGAATACATAGCATAAACAGCATAAAATCAGCAAAAACAGCATAAAATCTAATAATTAATTCTATGAAAAACGTGAATGCCCTGATCCAATATTTATTTTTAGTATTAATTTATTTAACTAAATCTGGTAAAACAGACTAAAGTGGAACTGTGTTTTTACACAACTGTCTATGAAGTACCACAGGAAAACAATTTTCATTGTGAACAACTGAACAACCGCTCCTGGGCTGTGGAATATTCCAGCATGGGCACTAAGAGTTATTTGTTATGTGAACGGAAAGTAGTGCAGAGAGGCAAATAGCACCATTTGCAAGATGGTCTGGATGGACAGACATCTTTATAGAAAAAAAAGAGGGAGAAAACAAGTGCCAGCAAACATACTATGCACATTGAAACACAATTACTGACCACTATCCACATCTATAAAATCTTAAAATCAAAAGATGGACAACCAGGGCCAGAACTTGATTAGATTAGTTCTTACCTGTTTATCATAATGTATCTCGCACTCACAGGCCACAGGCAGCAGAGGGCAGCATTTGGAAAAGGCCATGACAGCAGATAGAACAAAGGCTCTCTCACTTTCCCTTCCCAAATAGTAACAAACTCAACTCTAGAATGTTCTTTTAGGATCTGTCCTACTCTCATAACAGTGTGTGTTCATATAAACAAACACACAGAGGCATGCAGGTTTACAGCATTAGGCCAAGCCACACCCATTTAAGTTGACGCAAATAAAAGCACAAATAAAGACACATCTACAATCATAAAAAAAACTGCCTTCAGGCAACATTTAACAAAACACAATGCAAATTTACCATTTTTATCATTGCCTTCATTGGACCACCATGAACTGAATTGATAAATAGTTGTTGCCAAACTCCAGGTTTGCCGTCATACTATCATCAGCTCAGCTACGAGATGGACACTGCAGCTGAGAACATGCAGGATTGCTGCAGTCTCAAACCAAGAGAGTAACATGGAGGAGCTGCTGGTGTCCAGTGCCATTGAATCACTGCTGACACATGATGACTGCTCGCTACATATACTGAGGCTGGATTATGTACAGCTTGATACATTTAAATAAAAATTTGTAGCCAACATTCCCAGATATAAAACTGATACCAAATTACATAACACTGTTATATTATAGACTGTAACTGTAGGTAATATAAAACACAAAAGGGAAGACCCGCTGCCCCTGGCTGTTTAACACAAAGAGTTTGTAATGATTGTTCTGTCAATTATTCCAGGGTCTTTTTTCCTTCCATCTGCACCAACTTGCAGACTAATTTCATTTAACGTCTCTCAGGTGACCGCACGTTATGAATGCTAATGAAGCCTGAGCTGGACATTCACTCGCTCGCCAGCCTCACTCGCTCTCAGAGAACAGGGCTGTACACAAACTGAGGCCTGTGACTGTCTCCACCACACATCACATAGTGACCCCTTCAGTATTTTTGTGGAACATGTGTCACAATAAGGTGATGCTTCTGGAAACTGCCATTTGGAGATTTGAAATGGGGTAAATTATGCTCACAGAGATTGTCCAAATGACAGGGTAATCTGGGAAGTTTGTGTGCGTTGGGAACTACATTATTTCAAATAAAGCCAAGGTAACACTAATTTTTCATCCAGCACATGGTGAAAATTACATGAATATGACAGTGGGCAAATGCATAGTTTGAAATGCATGAGTTTAAAGTTTGTCGATTGTGCGTCTCCAGTAAATCTGATTAGTTTAAATTATATAAATGCATATTTGCTGCTGACAGTAAACGAGAAAGTATTATAATGTTTGCATTTCTATTACTAATAATATAAAAGCATTCAATCAATAGTGACCCCTTCAGTATTTTTGTGGAACATGTGTCACAATAAGGTGATGCTTCTGGAAACTGCCATTTGGAGATTTGAAATGGGGTAAATTATGCTCACAGAGATTGTCCAAATGTCCGCTTCTCATTTGTTTCATTAATGTGTTTTGCTTAGTGGTCGATATTGTTTTTTTTGACAGCCGATGCCGATAGAGAGCAGGGTGGCCTATAACAGTATTTTTCAGAATAACAAAATATATACTGTATATATATATATATATATATATACACACACAGGTTTTATGTTTACGCGGCACGATGCAAGAAAAGACAGTAAAAAAAGACAGTATAAGTCATTATAATCCATAATTATGTCCCCACTGGATGCAACAAATGCCTCGTTTATAATGGGTTTTAATGTTTTTGTCTCATCGCTCCAGCCTGACAGGGCAGCATCACAGTATGGTAAGGGGCATAACATTTCCGTCACACGCTTGAGGTATTCGGCCAATCACAACGCACTGGATAGCTGGCCAATCACAGCACACCTCACTTTTCAGACCGATGAGCTTTGTAAAAATCGACGCGTTTCAGAAAGGCGGGGCATAGAGGAGAAACAATAATGTACAGTATGTGGAAAATAATGTGTTTTTTTAACCTTAAACCGCATAAACACATTTCATTACACTAAATACACAAAATAATGTTATTTTTAGCAACATCATATGACCCCTTTGATGATATTATGTATTACTTAATGAAAAGTCTAGTTTTTCAGTAAAATCATCCTTTAGCCTTGCAAAAAATACATAAATAAATCAAAAATTGTGGATAGCCCACTTACATCATCTGTATTAACCAATCCATCCAGTGCAATCTTGTGATTACTGACATCTTTATGGCACATACTAGTTCAGACTAGGTTCATGGGTCTTAAAAACACATTACCATTACATGATTGTTGTGCAGTGTTTTCAGGTATTACAAGATATAAAACTACATTTTGAATTTTCCCCCGATATTCTAGCCTGATTTTCTATGAACAATCACTAAAAAACCACCAGATTATAAGAAGATATAGGAAATTGAAGTTTGTAAAGCTGTTTGCTACAACAAAAAATAATTTAAAAATACCACAGAATTTCCCACTGAATCTCCCCAATTTTGGATTGTCTCAAACCATTGAGATGATGGGAAACTTCATTCTATAATCTATTAAAAACATCAGTCACAGGGCGCTCCTTTACTGGATGAACAGAGACTATTTTAGTCAAACCCGAATGTATGTTTGTGTGAACCCTCAGAGAGACCACAGAGTGATCCTCCCTCACTGCAGTTGCTTTTAACAGAACCCAGACAGAGGTTGAGGTTATTTTCTGTACTCTCCCTATAAATACTTTGCACAGTCGTGTGATTGCAGACACTTGTAACGAAAGGTCCTGGTGACATCATCACACAGCCCACCGAGGAGCACTTGGTGTTATCACTGCAGTGCTTTCTAGATATGACTAATGTTCTGTAGTGTCTGTAACTTCCACAGGCTCTCTCTTTCATTCTTTCCCTATTTTTGTCCAGCACTTCTCTGTAAACTTCCCTCCCCTATGTTTTTTTCTAAACCTTTTTCTGTGCTAATCGCTGTTACTGGGAACAGAGAAAAGTGTTGGGGACAGATATAAATGCACTACAAAATTATCATAAAATATGGACCATATATCAGCTTTGTGCGATTAACAGGTCAAATTTAAGATATTCACTTACAATCTTCCCCTCTATGAGCTGTTAACTGCTTCAACCGTCAGTGAGCTAAACTTGAGAACCAGATCAGTCAGATTTATGTAAGATAACAAAGATATAAGGGTTTGAAAAACATGAGGGTAAGTAAATAATGACGTAATAAAATAAAGCTGCCCTTTCTCTGGAACTCTTACCTCCCATGTTTCCACAGAGCTGCTGTCTTTAACTCCATTTAGTGCTGCATTCATTTGCAGGGTAACCTCGTAGCATTCCTGAATATCTGAGAATAAGGGAATAGCCATGTCATTGAGGGAATCTATTTAAATAATGCAAGTATTTATGCTGAAATATGTAATACCTCTGTTACAATTTTAGATTAATAACAAATAAAAATATATAAAAAATGAAAAATGTATAGTATAAATGAGGCTGGCATACCAATATTTATGCTAAAGGATTATTTCACCCAAAAATTAAATTTCCCATTTACAATTGTCATTTACTTGTATGCCCTGTATGCCTTACTTGCAGCTTGAACATACTATAAATTTCTCATTTTAGGTTTCACAGAAGAAAGTCAGTCATATGCTTTTGAGAAAAAATGTATTGAGCCCCTAAAGGAACACAAAGATTGTTAAAAACAAAAAAGAAAGAAAGAAATGGGAGGACCTTGCATTCAATCACAAAACATTTGTGGTGGAATTAATATGAGGTAAGAGGAAAGAATATATATTTCAATACTTTGGGGTTTTCTCACAACAAACCTTCTACACTACCATGAGGAACCTTGCATTCTAGAGCAAAACGTTTTGAAATACAAATTTTCTATCACCATGTCCCCTTAGGGGTTCCATAGACATGAGAGTGAATAAATTATGCCAGAATGTTCATTTCTGTGAACATTTAATGGGCCCCATCAATAGATTAGTAAGTCTTTAAGCTAGTGCTGGGCGGTATACCGGTTCATACCGAATACCGGTGTTTATTTTTGTCATGATATGAATTTTTAAAATACCGCAATACCGCGTATGTCGCTTAAACAACGTTTGGAACGCGACAATGTTTGAAAGGGGTCCCTTTTCACTGTTGCACTGTGGTGAGGGAACAGCTTTGTATGTTACTAAGCGTGAAAGTTCCGAAACTGAAGCTGTAGAACTAATAGAACGTGATGACAGAAGAACTCATCCACAATATCCACATTGACCACCACAAATATCCACCGCCCCCTGCCATCAGCTCCCGTGTCTCACACACACACGAGCGTGACTTTAGCACTAGATTTAGCAACTTTCAGACATTTTTAGCGGCTTTTTCCCATAGAATATTTATACTGACAAACCTAGTGACTTTTTTGGATAAACCTTAGCTATGGTTCAGTTGGAAGATTTCGCCAGTGCTGTCCCGCGAATGCGAGGTCTGACTTTCCCGGAGAAGTGTCACCTCTCTCGGCGTCTGTTCTGTGCAGTGAGCCACAGAGCAGCAGCGC